TACAATATGTATTTTTGAAAGCATTCTTACTTTACAGCATTTTTTCACACCTGCCTAAAACCTTTCCACAGTATTGTATTTCTGAAGTTTTAAACAGCATAAAAGCCATCTTGAGACCAACTAAAGGAAAGGCAGGGTTTATTTTTTTTCTCCATGTCATTAAGTGCCACCTAAGTCACAGAATCAATTATGCTATCTCATACTTCATCTTACTCATCATGAGATAGCTCTAAATCTCATACAAGTGACACCCAAGTGCCATTATTAATCAAACTTCTATATTTATCAGAGATTTCCAGAATGGTACCCACAAAGTTCTAGTGAAAGTCAAATCTAGCTATTTTTGCCAGATCCAAATTGTTTAGCAAGGAGCTCTTCATAGGAGAATATACTATCTCTAATTCAGTCCAGCATGGAATCCTGGGCTCAGTAATGTCATACACAAATGATGAACAGCATTCTAGCAGTCATTAAACAAAATGTCTCCAGCTATCAGGCTTCTGGTGGTAGATATTAGACCTAGAAGTGATGCAGATGTACAGTAAGTGTATTGGAAAAACTAAGGAAGCCATTATTAAAGAATTCCAGCAACTACTATGTATAAAATGTAAGCTCCATTTATAATGAAATCAAGGTTCAAAATTTTGCACCTTTTCCTCCCGTCTATGTGATAAAATAGGCTGGAGGTTTCTCTCTTCTGAACAGGATGAACAGTTCCTACCTGTTCTTTGTTACTGGAATGAACCATATAGTTTCAGGCTGTTTGCTTTTGATCCTACCAGAACTAGCTCTCACCCCAGGGTTTATGCAGGCTAAACTATTGATTGACTGATTATGTGCCACTGAGTTGGAATCAACTGTTAGCGACCACATGGACAGATTTTCTCCCAGATACACTATCCCCACCTGGTCCTTCAGATCTTCCAATGAAACCATGAAAACTTTATCCAAAACTGATAATATTTACCTGGAGGAACAAAATTATCATTTTCAGGTTCTTTGCCCTAAAGATATAAAAAAAGAAAGAAATTAAAGAGATTAAACAGAAACAACACATTGAAAATGACCGCAGGAAATGTTTAAAAAATGTTGCATGTCAAGCTTAATCTAGAATCTGAAATTTGAACCCAGCAAATCAATGTGTTTAAATAGTTTGCTTCACAATTTTTATTTTAAGCCAAATTTGTTTAATTCTTTGCTAAATAGGATTAGAGTTGTTAATTAAATAGTCCTCTATTATATGCAGCAATAATTTATCTCATTCTCTAGCTGGTTATAGTCAGAGATCTGTTAAACTTATCATCCATCTACATCCTACATTTCTTGATCTGTACATTTTGGATGACTTAGTGGATAATATCCTAGGCATATAGAAAGCATGGATATTTTTTATCAAGAAAGTGCTTAGAAGCAGAAAGAAATTAAAACTGCTGTCTCACATGTGAAGAAACCCTATTCTTCTTATCCTTGAGTTGAGGTCAAGGATACACTAGGGCAAAAAAGTATTTAGTCAGCCACCAATTGTGCAAGTTCTCCCACTTAAAAAGATGAGAGAGGCCTGTAATTTTCATCATAGGTATACCTCAACTATGAGAGACAAAATGGGGAAAAAAATCCAGAAAATCACATTGTCTGATTTTTAAAGAATTACCTCAACTATGAGAGACAAAATGGGGAAAAAAATCCAGAAAATCACATTGTCTGATTTTTAAAGAATTTGAGAGAGGCCTGTAATTTTCATCATAGGTATACCTCAACTATGAGAGACAAAATGGGGAAAAAAATCCAGAAAATCACATTGTCTGATTTTTAAAGAATTTGAGAGAGGCCTGTAATTTTCATCATAGGTATACCTCAACTATGAGAGACAAAATGGGGAAAAAAATCCAGAAAATCACATTGTCTGATTTTTAAAGAATTTGAGAGAGGCCTGTAATTTTCATCATAGGTATACCTCAACTATGAGAGACAAAATGGGGAAAAAAATCCAGAAAATCACATTGTCTGATTTTTAAAGAATTTGAGAGAGGCCTGTAATTTTCATCATAGGTATACCTCAACTATGAGAGACAAAATGGGGAAAAAAATCCAGAAAATCACATTGTCTGATTTTTAAAGAATTTGAGAGAGGCCTGTAATTTTCATCATAGGTATACCTCAACTATGAGAGACAAAATGGGGAAAAAAATCCAGAAAATCACATTGTCTGATTTTTAAAGAATTATTTTGTCTCTCATAGTTGAGGTATACCTATGATGAAAATTACAGGCCTCTCTCATCTTTTTAAGTGGGAGAACCTGCACAATTGGTGGCCGACTAAATATTTTTTTGCCCCACTGTAGGATACCTCTCACCATACTGCCCAAATTCAGTGGCAAGGTTTCCCACTATTTTGAAGTAGGAAATGCATGAGAAATGTAGTGTGAGGGCTAGCAATACAAGAACTGTGATTCTCCTAA